GGGGGCCCTTGGCTAGGGAGAAATGACATCTTTCCAATCTTCCCTTCTTCTCATAGAAGGCAACTGGAGCCAAATGTCCAGACAGGGCTAGGGAGGGCGCTCAGATGGAAATGTTAGTGACGTCATGGCCCCATCTTCCATCAGAGTCCACACCCCCTACCTTCGAGGGTTTGGGGCCTAAGAAGGAGCGCCTGGCACTGTACATCTTGAACACCCAGGGGCTGGTTCCTGAGCATGTGGAGACCCGCACATTATACAGTAACAGCCAGCCAGGCATCGACCAGGTATGGACTGGACTGGATCAGGAAATGGGTGTCCATCCACCCAGGACATAGTTCACAGTGAGACGCAAGGACAGGTCAACAACTCACATATGTGCACAGACAAGAGCCAAGCATGTTTTGCGCATTAGTAAGGAAGATGCTCCAATGACGTCGCTTAGAGAGCATCACACCTGGAAAGGCTATAGGAAATGGGTGCCTCAGAACGCATGTGTAAGCTCTAGGATGCCCCACCAACCACTAGTAACACTGTGCTCTCCTGGGGAGTAGGGAGGTGGTATCATAGTTCAGAGGGCACAAACACCGCAAAACCCAGTTCTGGCTGCTTAGCTGCAAGCTATCTTCTCTATGGCAAGGAAGTAGGGACACAGATCCCCAAGGGCACCTTAATTACCCCTCATTGTCCAACTATTAAAAATGGCTCCATCGTTCCACAGATCTTTCAACATTCATGAAGTCTTCTGCTAAGCAATTTTCTAAAAATAACCATCCTCATTAAACTTTCTCAAATGGGCCAACTCTGAAGACTAAAAGTAGGTCAGGTAATCTGACAGGCAGGACATATTTGCCTCTATTCCAAGGCCATGGTGCCACCCTTCCCCATCCTCTACTCGCCATTTTTACCACGACTTCTCTGACGACTCTACTTTGTGGCCAGCTTAATACCATTAGGTTTTGGACACACAACACAAAATGGCCTTGCTGACCATCCAGGTTCCTTACTGAAGGCTTCCATGCTGCTGAATACATGAGGCCCAGCCCCAACAAGGATCCCCCTCACCCATCAACAGGCCAGGCCACCTACCGTGTGTGACCTCCTCACTCCCCACCCCCAGTTCATAAGTGAAATCTCAACATCCATTCTTGGTCTCAGAGCTGGCACCCTTCACCCTTACCCAGTCGCTTTCCCAGCCAAAAACTAAAGGAGTTGGCAGGTGCTTATTTACCACCTCCCAGAGACCTCTGTGCTCCACCCCTGAGTGTCAATAATGCAGTCTCATCCAAGCCTGAGACCCTCATGCCACCTAACTGGAGAGAGAGAGAGAGGGAGAGGGAGAGGGAGAGAGGGAGGAAGGAAGAGAGAGAGCGTGCAGCAACCTCCAGTCAGCAAATCCATTCTGGCTCTAGGGAAAAATACAAATGTGGGTGGACATCTTCCCCAAGATGCTGGGGCCTCCTGGTCCCCCAGTCAACATCAGCCCCAGAAAGCCTAAACGGTGAGTAATGCTAAAGCCCAATCCTAATTATGGCGCTCCGGCTCAGCCCCCAGGATGCAGGGAGCCTCGATTCCAAGCGGTGGGAGTTCTCTATCAGGCTTAGAAAGAGCTTTCCTGCCCAAGTTCAGGCTCTCTGGGCAGCTCCTCCCTCTGCAAGGCTGTCGCTGGGGGGTGTGGCCCTCAGCCCAGCCTCAGAGTGCAGTGGCTGCAGGTATGAACTGCGCTGCATCATCTGGAGTACCACCCAAGTGGACCTGGTTCGCAGTACCTTAAGCAAAGAGAAGATGAGTGACATCTATGTCAAAGGGTAGGCGGGAATGGGGGGAGGGCTCCAGAAGGCCCCTTAGTTACCTGGTTCTGTCACCCTGCTAAAAGCCCCCTAGTCCTGAAACATCTCTCTGCCACCACTTGTGTGTGGTGGGACGGGGCTCACCTAGGAACCCTAGGTAAAAGGACTCTGTCCTCAGGTGGCTATTTGGGCTAGAGAAGGACATGCAGAAGACAGATGTCCACTACCACTCCCTGACTGGGGATGCCATCTTCAACTGGAGGTTCATCTTTACCATAGACTACCTGGCGACAGAGCATGTCTGTGTTCAAAGCCAGAAGGTAAGGGACAGGCAAGAGAGGAGGGGATAAGAGCCTTAGGGTCCCAGAGACTGCAAGCTCTGTTGGGATGTTAGGGACATTTCCTCAAGCAGAATCCCTCTTCCGTGATAGTCTGTCATTACTGACTAGTGAACTAATGGGTATCCAAGGGAAATGTCCATGAGGTAGGCCATTAACACAGCTTTCTACTATCCTCCAGGACTACATATGGAGCCTGGATCCCACATCAAGGAAGTTTCCAGCCAGGCTCATCATCCAGATTTGGGACAATGACTTCTTCTCCCCTGATGACTTCTTAGGTGAGGTCCTGGTGTAGCGTTTGTGACAAAGGATAATAAACAACACCTCGTGTTGATGATGGCCTTTCTCTGAGCTCAGGGGTCCTGGAGCTGGATTTAACGGACATGCCCCTTCCGGCTGAGAGCAGCAAGCAATGCTCCCTCAAGATGATGGAAACTGACTCCAAATGGCCCTACATGCATCAGAAGCGTATCTCTATCTTTAAGAAGACCAATGTAACTGGATGGTGGCCTTGCCAGGTCAACGATGGTGACAAGTGGCGTTTGTCGGTAGGAGCTGGGGAAAGGGGTTTAGTGAATAGGACCGCCATGCCATCTAACCTGGCTCTCGCCAACTTCTAGGACCTCAGCCCAGGCTCCTTTCCTTTGGGGAGGTAGGGAGGTGGTCCTGAGATGACCTTGTCTCCTGCCTCTTGGTCTTTGGCATCTCTAGGGTAAAGTGAAGATGACTCTGGAGATCCTGCCAGAGAGGGAAGCTTTGATCAGGCCAGCAGGGCAAGGCCAGTCAGAACCCAACCAATTCCCAAAACTTCATCCCCCTGTGTAAGCACCCTGTGGGGCAGAGGCACGAAGCCCTGGCCTCCTCCTCTGCATAGGGTGGTGACTGGTGGGCCTCCATGTGGAAAGGGACAGTTACTTCCTCCTACATGGCTAAGTTATAGTCGGAAATAAGACTTGGAGTTGGTTGTAGGGGGCTCCCCAATCCTGTTTTTAAAAAAAGGCTCTGGATAACTTGACCTGAAGGCTCCTCTTGCCCTCCATTCTCTGGCATCTACTGTCACGGACAGACGAAATGACACCTCTTTCTTGTGGTACCGGTCACCTATTAAAAACTTATGCTATGTTATCTGCAAACGCTACCGCTCCAAAATCCTATGCTTATCGGTGATACTGGTTATAGGGATTATTCTGTTCAACTTCATCTATTCGGCTCCGGTGAGTGCTAAACCCTGTGGAGGAGGATAAAGGCCACTCTTATGTCAGCTCTCAGTACATTCGGGTTTCTACTTAGGCTACTCTGGTGTCTCTTCTCTCTAGAACTATCTGGCCATGGCCTGGATCAAACCTGAACTTCGGCTGAATCCTCCCATTAAAATAGTCAACCTCATCGGTTCAGTAAACACCAGCAGTATCAACTCTTCCATCTTCAGCATGGAGGGTTCAAAACTACAGCCTTTAAAAAACAACAAATCGGCGGTCCTCCAAGGACCCAGGAACCACATGAAAGACGTCATTCCAGAGATTCCAGCTCCACAAGGCTAGGTGACCTGACTTATCTTTCACCGGCCAGGCACCCTGTGCCTTGGATTTGCCAGCAGACCCTCATTTGAGTCTTCTAGGACATGGCCAAGGGGCCGTGCATATTCTGACACACATGTTTAGAGACCACTTCTAACAAGAGCAGAGCTGTTAATTTTCTACTGAAATAAATACATTTTTCTAATGAAGCTACCTTGGAATTTGGGGGTTGGGGTTAAAGACAGTGTGAAAGGCTGGATACCAGCTCTTTATTGTGAGACTTGGGAAATGATGCCACATTTAATCACCCCTTCTAGCCCTGGATTCCTTCTATGTGTAGAGGCTTTGACAGAGAAAATAAGCAAAGGGTACTGTGAGTTGTAGGCTGGGGCCATGGCTTTTTCCCAAGTAGGAGTGCACAAGAGCCACACTAGGGGCCAGGCACTACCCCACGCAACACATACTCTGCCGCTACAATGCCCAGAGACATAGCCTCACTAGCCTTGGGAAACATTTGTTTCTGCAACAGAAGCAAGAGCTGGGGCAGGGCACATGATGCTGAATGGGTGGCTTTCTTGTTCGCTTTTGTTTTCTGGGACAGAGTTTCTCTGTGCAGCCCTGGCTGTCCTAGAACTTCCTCTGTAGGCAAGGCTGGCCTTGAACTCAGAGATCTACCTGCCTCTGCCTCCCGAGTGCTGGGATTAAAGGCGTGCACCACCGCCACCAGGCATGGGTAGTTTTCTTAGACATTTCTCAAATGGGAAAAGGCCAGCTCCCAGGCAATGTGGAGACCACAGATCCTATGTCCTGATCTCTAACGGCATCAAAGTGCTCGTGAGCAGGGATCACACAAACCTGACTCACCCTCTCTCATCCTCCCATGGTAAAATCCTTCAGGCCCACTGCTATGACAGTCATCTCAACCTCAACGGCCTGCTTAGGTCCTCTACCACATGGACCCATCCACCCTCCCTGCGAGCTCAAAAGAGACAAAACTACCATTTCTTTTCAGTTCTCCGGGTCCTAAGGCCAACGTCTACATCCCAGTTCATCCCCTTTCTCCCTTATCCTGCTGTGGGAAGGGTTGGGAGGGGCTCTCTCCACCTGCCTGTACCTCTCCTGCAGAAGGGCAATGTACTGCCCTGCTTAATTAGGCACGCGGGAAAGACTGAGCCCTGAGAAGATGAACACCCATCTGCAACCAGGGTGACTCCTCCTCCTCGTCTAAGGACGGATGGGGTGAGGGATGAGCACCCAGGATGGGCAGGGTGAGAGCTGGCATACCGGAGGCTCAGGAAAAAAGGGGAGCCTCCCCACTAAGCCCACCCTAGAAGGCCACTGAGCAGGACTCATGATTGGTTCCATCAGTCACTTTAAGAAATTTCCTTGGGCTTCAGAGATCCAGAAAACTCAGTTTCAGGCCCTCCAGGGAGACCACCCTGTAACCAATTTAATCACAGGGCAGGTAAGTGAGCAGCATGTGACATTTGTAGAATAAGGCAGTGTAAGGGGGTGACACACACAGGACCACACTCAAGCCGTGCGTGCTGCTCAGTGGTCAGAACTTTTCCAGACACAGAGTCTTTTGCTCTCAGAGTCGTTACAAGATCAGCAACTGTTTCTTCGCATTAAGAAGCCGAATCTCCTCTCAGGGTCATGTCCAAGTCCAGAGAATAAGGAAGCTTCTTTTTACTTCCCAAGAATCACGAGAAACAAAACATGCAGCTAAGCAGGCTCCACTGGGTCCAGAGACACCTCCACATGGGCAGAGGAGACAAACGCTGCCCTCTGTGGCACACCTGGACCTGGATGACGCCACAGTTACTCCCACAGCCTCTGTGAAGGTGTCCGAGCTTCTCTCGATTTCTAACTGCTTTTACTCAAACGATCCAAGGGCCTGAAGAGCTCTGATTAGGAAAGCTAAGGACACGGGGACAGACAGGAACAAGGTTCGCCCAGCACAGAACCCAGGCTGAAGCAATGAACTAATGCAGAGAGCCCCGGGGCCACCTGATGGGAGCAGCAAACTTCTTTCCTAGCTCCGAGTGCACAGGGAGAGGATGGTGAGTGAAGGGAGACAGAGAGGCAGGTGTGGCAGAAGTCTCCATCCAGATTGCCAAGGAGCTCCTCAAGTAGGAGGAGGCGTGGGCAAGAGTAAAAGCTACTAAGTGGGCTTCCAGACTCTATGAGCTCTGGTTTTCTAGTTCGAAACCGACAAATGAAGTAGGAGGTTTGTTGTGTCCAGTCCATGCTGGGGTGGCTATCCAATGCTCTAATGCTTTTTTCCATGTCTCTCCATACCTAAGTGGAAGGGCCACAGGGAAAGGCACGTCACAGCTGCTCGGCCCTGGGGGTGGCATCTCCGGCCAGTGACATGTTCCCGTGGATGACCATACGAACGCAGGGTCACCGCCCCAATGACAGAACACAGTCCCTGAACAGCTGGCTAGGTGAGCAGGCTCGCCAGGCTGCACGCTCAGACCCGCAGACCCGGGTAAACCGCAGAGGGACGGGTGCCATCAGGGTTCAGTAGAAGCGCTTTCGGCTCTGGTCTTGCCACTTGTTGTAGAGTATGATACCAATGACGATGGCAAACACGGAAAACACCAGGGAGAAAAAGACGATAAGAAAGAGGGCCAGGCCAGTCAGGGGCGCTGGTGGTGGAGTCACTGAGGAAGCAAAGGAAAACAATCAGGGATAGGGGAGCCCGTCCAGCAATGGGCCAGCAGGCACGCACCCACTTCTGGGGAGCCAGGGCCCTGACCCCCCCCCCCCTGCTCCAGACGGCTCAGTTACAAAGTGGAGCTGCCCATCTGTCACTGCTTGCCTACAACAGGCCGCCGGGAAGGCAGTGCAGGCATCCCATGTGCCTCGGCGGGGCCCAGGAACACCAGCCTGACAGCTGTGGGGGCCAGTCACCCCAGACTGCATGGACACTGCAGCCTCCTCCCTGACCACAGGCTGTTTGCCCGGATCCCACACTCACTCTCAGGCAGCTTCAGATTGTCCACTGAGGGCAGGAATACATCCCGATGAAGCTTTTCTTCTTCTGGGGTCCTCACTCCCGTCAGCTCAAACAACTTCAGGGAAATGACGTCATGATTATCTAGAGGAGAGAGTATAGAGGTTACTCCAGCCGCCTCAACGAGAGGGCTTCTGGAGCTGGTACCCTGGCTGAAGACTCTGATCCGAGCTCCTCTACCCACTGACAGCCGTGGCCTGAAGCAACCTTGAAATCAAAGTAGAAAGGGAACTATTTCAGGGGAGCACAGAGACTAACGGAAGGGGCAACTCTGCAAGTTTCCTCTACATTTAAATACAGAACAGGAATGTAAGAGGAGGAGGATCTAGGGGGAGGGAAGACTAGTAGGAGGGGCTAGAAGACAGGGTGCTGGGACAATGACACACATGGATCAATGTGTCATATGAGCCCCTGTGATGGTGCATGCCTGTCATACCAGCACTTAATTACAGAAGAAAAGGGCCAAGTGTGGTGGCACATGCCTCTAATTCTAGCACCTGAGAGGCAGAGGCAGGAGAGCGGATGCAACTCAAGGCTAACTTGGTCACACATGTTAGACTCAGGCCAGCGAGGGCCAGTGAGACTAGCTCAAAAGCAACAGTGAACCCAACAGATATCAACCTTTTTTTTTTTTTTAAGTTAAAGCTCATCACTTTCTCATTTAAAAGAGTAAGGATGCTGGGTGGCAGTGGTGCACGCCTTTAATCCCAGCACAAAGGAGGCAGGGAGGTGGTTCGCTGTGAGTTCGAGGCCAGCCTGGTCTACAAGAGCTAGCTAGTTCCAGGAGAGCCAGAGCTATGTAGAGAAACCCTGTCTCAGAACAAACAAACAAACAAAAAGAATAAGGAACTGGATATATTCTATGTATTTTAATGGCAAATATACTTAGAATAAAAACCTAAAAATAATGTTGAAAATAACTGGGGCTGGAGAGATGTCTCAGTGGTTAGGAGCACTTGCTTGAGGACCAGGGTTCAATTCCCAGCACCCACATCAAATGGATCAGAACCATCTCATCCGCAGCTCAAGCTCCAGGGAATCTGATACCCTCTTCTGGCTTCCACAGGCAGCTGCATATACTTGTGCACACAATACACATACACACAGACAAATAAAAATCTAAAACCTTAAAAGGAACTGAAGATAATTAAATCCTCTATCAACCATTAAAACCTTTTAGTGGAGAGAGGAGACACAGCAGCACCGTGTTTCTTCTTGGTGGAGCATAGGCACACGCATGCGCACATGCACGTGCGCACACACACACACACACACACAAACGCACACGCACGCACGCACACACACAGAGGCAGACAGAAGAAACGGTCTCCCACTGCCTGTTTGATGGGCCTTGGTCAGGGCAACATTATTTGCAGGGAAGATGATGCCTCCCAGACTCTGTTTCTTTTTGGCTTCTTGTTATTCTGACTGTGATCTCCCTAATGCTGCTAGAAAGGGGATCAAGAAGCTAGAGATGAGATTTCTCTCTTCTAGTGTCTCAGTATAGTCTGTAAGGCAGAGAGTTTCACAGTGCGGTGTGGGTCGGCCTTGACTGAGGGGCCTCCTGCTTCGGCCTCCTGGGTCCTGGGCTCATTACAGGTGTGTGATAGCATACCCAGGCCCCACGTCTCTCCGTTGTTTGCTCTCTGCTTGGTTTTGGCCTTACTATGTAACCCAGGCTGCTAACTTCAAATCTGACTTTTTCATCTCAGCCTTCTTAACGCTGGGGGTTATAGATGCGAGACCCTGTACTTGACTTCTCTGTTTTGAAGCTTTTTTGTTAACTTGGTTTTGGGCTGTGTGTTTGTTTGGCTGACAGAGACAGTGTTTCTCTGTATAACCCTGGCTGTCCTGGGAACTCACAGGGATCCACCCGCTCCTGTCTCCTGAGCACTGGAACTAAAGGTGTGCGCCATCACATATGGCCTTCTGGCTTTTCTCAGAAGTTCTAGGCTTGTAACATGTGTCAGACCTGTTGTCAACTAACTCTTGAGGAAGCTCTGCTCCCTTCAGCGGGGATCCATTTTCAGTGCTTACTTCCTTGAGCCTAGCCTGGACTTCTGGTCATTTCTGTGGACACATCAACAAACCCACAGCAGAAGAAATTGCCTGCATCTTCATTTGGAACATGCTTTTGCTGTCAAAGTCAAGTTTAAACTGCATGGCAGGATAAAAAGCCAGGGCAGTCCATGTATGGCAGCACACATGTAATCTCAGCACTTGAGAGGCTGAGGCACAAAGATCCTGAGTTCTAGCCTCGCCTGGGCTACATAGATCCTATCACAAAACAAAGCAACAAGACGTCAAAAGAAGACACAGAAAATGGACTGTCCCTTTTTTCCTCTCCTTTCTTTTTTGAGGCGGGGTTGCATTTTGTAGCTCAGGGTGGCCTGGAACTGCTCTATAGTCCAGCTCATCCTTCTTCCTTCTCTTTTTTTTGAGACAGGGTCTCACTTTGTAGCCCTAGCTGCCCTGGAACTCACTATGTAGGACCGTGCTGGTCTGAAACTCAGAGAACGACTTATCTTGGCCTCCTCCTTTTTCCTTTCCCTTGCCCTTCTCTGTCCTTCCTTCCTGCCTTCAAAACAAAGCCAGGGCAATGCTCTCTACAGTGTGTGTACATCAAAGCCTGGAGCAGCAGAGAAATATCTGAACTTTCTCAACAAGTGTGATGGTGCATGCCTACAATCCCAGCATGCAGAAGACGGAGACAGGTTGTATCACTAGCTCAGGGCCGGGGTACAAAGCAAGATTATCTTAAAACTAAAACAAACAACAAAACCCCAAATAAGCTAACAAAAGCAATAGCAAAACTATACTTCTACAGATTAGAAGTTTATAGATTTTTTTTTTTTTTTTACATTGGCTGCCTGGGCCAAAATTAGGTAGAGTGTTGGATGTCACTCAAGGAAGGTAAGGGTTTCCGAGTGCTGTGCAATGAGCTGAAGAGTGGTTGGAGAACGGTGAAGACCACAGCACTGTGCACGGCACACCGCAGTTACAAGCGCAGCGCAGCGCAGACGACAAGGGAGAGAGGCAGGGACAAGCGCAGCTCAGCAGGCAGACGGCTAGTAAACTGGACACATGCTCCTTTCCAAAGTGAACAAACAGGGACTGGAGGTTGCTTAGGAGAGGGATGACGGAGCCAAGGGGCAGCGCTGTGAGAAGGGAGGGGAACTGGGCACAGCCGTAAGGGCGTAAGGGCGGGGCGGGGCGAGAAGCCTGGCAGGAGGAAAGGCCGGGAGAGGAGGGGAAGCAAGGCATGCGCACAGGCTGGGCGAGGGCACACGCGCCGAGTGCTCCTGGATACACCTGACCCGAGAGAGCCTGGACTGGAGCTTTTACAGGACCTAGGCAAAACCACACAGCATTCTCAAGCCATATGCATGGCTTCCCACAGCTCTTTCATCTGGCTCTCCTTGGAGAGGGCCTCACCAGCCGTTGGGGACCAAGTGAGGCAAACAGATAAAGCGCAGCGCAATACCGGAGAGATCCCCAGTGATGGAGGAAGTGCCGAAGTAATAGCCCCGGGGGAGACGGACCCCAGGCATGTCAATGCAGTCCCTCCACTCATGCTTGCCATCGATATCCATCATTATCTAGGATAAAGGAAAGACATATGAGGGACAGACCACAGGGGTAGAGGCCGTGCAGACCACCAACCGCAAAAAGACAGGACTCACCGTCAGATGCCTCTTGACATAGCGAATCACGAGGAAGGTGTCATAACGGAGATTTCGGACGATGGCCGTGCAGCCCCCCAGCTCTGTGGGCCGCCCATCCCGCTCATGATCATAGCTGAGAGAGCCGTTGTTCACCATGGCTGAGATGTAGGGGAATACGCGCTGGGACACAGAGAGGGAAAAGGAGACAGCGAGGAAGAACTCTTAGCAATGACTGCACAGCAGCGGAAGGGAATGAGCACCTTTTGGGCGAGCAGAGCAAACCACCCTGCCTCATTTTAAGCACCACCCCCGAACCCACGTACAGATGGTCACACAGGTAACGCGGACCCGGGAAGCAGTGGACTCCACACACATGGTGTTAGTAGTTCCCCTTGCTCTAGACCTAGGGTAGGCCTGAAGCAGCCCTGCAGGACGCTGGAGTCTGACTGCTCCTCCCAGCAATCACCGTTTGGTGCTTACACACTGGGAGTTTCCTTCCAACGGACAGATTCCTTTCTCCCCAGCTGTGCTGGAAGAAAAGGAAAATCATCTTCCAGGTCTCCACTTCAGCCCTATCCCTCTGCCCAAGCAAAGCGTTTCGCACACACACACACACAGCAGGTATTGTGAAATACCTGTTTGAGTGGGCAGGGAAACCTTTCCAGTCTGGATAGCTCCTTTCAGACTCTAAAATCCTACCAGTATATGATGCTAAATGAAGTAGGAGCCAGAAAGCAATGCTGGCACAGGCTCTGAGTGGGCTTCCGTAGCCACAATCACTCTGCTCAGTCCATGCACACATAACTTCCAAGAACGCCAATAGTAAGAGAGCAACATGCCCCTTATAGGAAAACTTAAAGGTTTCCACGTTACCTACTTGGGTCCCCACTACTTAGGAGGTGCCTTCTCTCCAACAGAGCTGTAAAAGTAAACTCTTCCTCACAACTGAAGAGCTAACCATTCCAGAATAATCCCAGGGCAAGTGGATGCAGAGGGGGAGGGGAGGGGAGGGGAGGGGAGAGGAGGGGAGGGGAGCACAAGGCATGCTGCTGCTTGGACGAGCTCTACACTGTCCCAGTCAACATGCAGGGAGGAAATGCAGTCAAGACCAGACACTTGGGACCCCTGAGACAACAGCCACGTGGATCCTAAGCAGCAAGAAATGTCAAATGGACACGTGGGAACAAGGGATGACGACGTGAGTCAAGAGCCGGGTACCTGGACTCCTGGAGAATAGCGCCTCTTCTGGGCCTGAGAGGGTCCAGCAGGTTATTACAGAAACAAGATAGGACACAGAACACAGGAGACCAAGTCAGAAAGAGACAGCCTCGGAAGAGCTGTGACCCTGCTGTAGTGGGCGAGTCACCAACCTAAATCCCTAAACAGGGTTTTAGGGTCCACAAAGGGCACTCAGCAAGTTCTTGAAGCTCTCACAATCTATGCCAGAATGCCCGCACAGGTGCTGGCACCTGTGTGAGGCTGTCTGGTACTATCATCAGCGTCTCAAGAGCCTACTACAAAGGCCTCTATCCCACGGAAGGACCTGGGGCCTTTAGCAGTTTATAAAGCACACCATCTTGCACTGCCCAAACACGACTAGGTTATGTCTCCCAGACCACTGTATCTCTTCTTTAGCAATGGAGTGGGGGTGGGGGTGGAGAAGGGACACACACACACACACACAAAAACACTAAACTCTTCAAAATTTGAGATGTCTTCTTGTATTGCTCAGGGTCTCAGGATACAGCTCTTGCCCAGAAGGCAAAATTCCCACTGTATGAGACCATGAAATTAACTCTAATCCAAAGGGATCATTTCCCTCTAATTGAGCCTCATGGACATACATTTCCAAATAGCTGTTGTCATTCTAGCCTACAGCATGGGGGCAGGGTGGAGCTCCGTGGGAGCGCAGCAGTAAGGGTTAGAAATTCACTGGGCTTGGGGGCACTTCAGCTCTGCCTCAGCAAATTTCCACAGCTCTAAAAATAAAGTACCAGCACTGAGAGGAACCTGCACAGGCTCAGCTCAGCCTGGTTCACAGAGGGTGGGGGAAGGGATCCCACAGCACTCACTCCTCTCATCCTTAGTGAGCACCTAAGAGTCGGCACTGGTGTCCAGTGGGAAACAAGCAGGACTCGTATCTGCTCTCACAGAGCTAACCCAGAGTCGGAGAGGCAGAGAGCAAGCAGAGAAATAAAATTGTTTCAGGCAATGATAACTGTTATGATGAAAACAAAAAAGGCAACACGATGGGTAAGGGGACTCTGCTCTGATGGGACCCACCATGTGATCTGACATGTAAGAACAAGAGGTCGGCATACTGAGAATCACAGAAGACAGGTGTATGGGAAACCCAGCTGGTGAGGAAGAGCTGGTGTAAGACCAGACGCAGGCAAAAGCATATCAGCCTCATGGATCAGTGGTGGCCCCAGAGCAGCTTCCCAGAACACACAGAGGACCGAGAGCTATGTAGTCCATCCATGGGTGATAAGTCACCATAAAGTTAGTCTTGTGCAACTGTCATTTAGAGCAAGGTAATTACCAGCGTGTTATTAAGGTAATTAACAGAAATGGGATTCTGAGAAAGCTTGTAACTTCAGTGAACAATTAAGGAAAGGAAGGGATTAAAAAATGCCCTGGGGTGCTCTGATGACCCCAAGATTTGCTTCTATTATCACCTCTAATCACAAGTTTAATTTGGAAGTTTAGAATGCCTAGGATAGCACTCCTTAGTCAAGGCTGCCCAACTCTTCCCAGGGCTGGTGTGACATCTGATCATCTATGAATAGTCAGATGGCAAGCGGTGCCCAAGTCGACCAGAGGAGCTTTTCATCTTTACAGGACTCCAGTTAAAGAATTTCACAGTCATCTAGAGTGGAGCACATCCTTGTTTTTGTTTTGGTTTGGTTTTTTTGAGACAGGGTTTGTCTATGGCTTTGGAGCCTGTCCTTGAACTTGCTCTGTAGACCAGAGATCAGCCTGCCTCTGCCTCGCAAGTGCTGGGATTAAAGGTGTAAGGCACCACCTCCCGGCTGTTGTTTTTGGTTTTTGAGGCAGAGCTTCACATGGCTCTGGCTTGCATCAAACTCTGTGCAACCAAGGATGACTCTGAGTTTCTCATTTCCCTATCTATACTTCCCAAGTGCTGGGAGTAACGAATGTGCCACCATACCCAGTTTCATGGACATCAAATCTAGTGCTTCCTGAATGCTCTGGAAGTACTCTAATGGAGCTGCACCCTCAGACCATGACATTCAGTCAAAACGAGACACCGCACTAGATGACATTGAGACCCATAGCCCCAAAGCTACAATCTGTCTGCTTAGCAACTCACACTATGCCTCCAAGCCTTACCTCACACAGGAAGTCACTGGATGCCAGTTCATTCTCTGCTCCTAGTTTGGAGTGTTTAACGTGTTTCTTGCATAGCCACCGATTTCTCGAGGCAGCAGATTGACTGACAGCCTTACAGTTACAACAAAACTCGGAAAAACCACACTGACCTAGGCAAGGTGGGCGTTTCCTTCCTAGTTTCGGAGTTACCAAAAATAAGGAATTCCTACCTGTTGTCCAAATGAATACTGTCCATAGCACAGGAAATGTTTCCAAACTTTGTACTGTGGAGCTACTTGTGGTTTCTAAAGCGACCCTTTACTACTAGCTTATTTTTGTTTTGCTGTGGGTATTTTTTTGTTTGTTTGTTTGTTTGTTTTTCAAGACAGGTCCTGAACTTGCTCTCTGTAGCCATGTGGGTTCTGGGAATTGAACCTGGGCCCTCTGGAAGAGTAGCCAGTGCTTTTAACCACTGAGCCATCTCTCCAGCCCCTTACTGTTTTTTGTTTGTTTGTTTGTTTGTTTGTTTGTTTCTTTCTTTCTTTTTGGGAGGGGTTGGTTTTTTCAAGGCAGGATTTCTCTGTAGCTTTGGAACCTGTCCTGTAACTCGATAGATCAGGCTGGCCTTGAACTCACAGAGATCCTCCTGACTCTGCCTCCCAAGTGCTGGAATTGAAGGCTTGAAGATGTGAGCTACCACTGCCTGGCCCCTCACTTTTCTTAATAAATCAACTTCTTTTACTTTGCTTAAGAAAAAAAAAAAAAAAATGTTTGTGAAGGAGCTGGGGATGTGGCTTAGACGGGAGAGTGCACAAGACCTTGGGTTGGACGCCCAGTGCCACATAAAACTGGGCATGGTGGCACATGCCTATAAGTCCACAGTCATCCTTGGTTACACAGAAAACTCCAGGCCAGCACCAAATACGTGAGACCCAGTTTCTCCTTACCATCTCTCCAAAAGGATACTCAAGGACTTTTGGATTGGATTTATGGAGTCTATGCTAAAATCTACAGGTCTAAAGCACATAATTTGGTCACCTAACAGAAAAGAGCAGAGACCTGGGTCCTAACCATCTTACACTGCTCATGGCTGCGTAGCTCTGGATGAGCTCTGTGACGTCCGCATCACTATTTTTACTGCAATCCGGGAGGATGATGTGTGCAGCTCACAGGATGAACTACAGGAAGAAGATGACAAGGGTGGACCACCAGGTATAATGCCTGGCATTCAGCTACGTAACTGCTAAATTAATGAAATTTTAGATTGGACATTGTTCAAAGCCAAACATTCATGATTGAGGGGAGTGATTTCCTTGGCTGACATGGATCACTAAAATGTCAAGAAACATTTGGATGTAGATACTCAATTTCTTTTCCTTTTTTCTTTTTCTTTTTTTCTTAAATTAAGTCATTTATAATACCATTTTACAAAAACACATTTTAACACCAAAAGAACAAAGAACTATGCAACTTCCTAAAACACACTCAAATACACTTAGCACACAGGAATTCACTTCTCTGTTCAGAATCTGGACAGGGAAACTTCTGGCAACAGCTCACTAACCCAAACTCACTAAGCAGCACAAGGGAGCACTTCAGGGGTATTGCTTAGCAACCTGAGCCTGCCACAAACTGTTACTATGTCCCTGACACTCTAAGCTAAGAGGTGAGGGGGGGGGGGGACACAAAAGAAGACAGTCACAGCAGCTATTGCCACGATGTCTGCCAAATGTTCCCCATGAATCCATTGAGGGGAATGAATGAATGAGAAACAGCAGCGTTTACTGGAGACTAAGTCTTCAGGGCACTGTGCTCAGTGATGGACTCACGATTCCACTTAGTTCCCAGCCCTACAGTACTAGGAGCCTCGGTTTTAAGATTACATCTATGTATCTTGCAAGGGAAGGGAACAACTGTGTGCCATGGGGACAGCTTGAGGGAGCTGGCTCTCTCCTTTCAACCATGGCGGGCCTGGGAGTCAAACTCACAAGACAACAAGCACCTTTAATAGTTGAGCCATCTCTGATCCACAGAGTCCTCATGTTACAGGTCAGTATGGTGGATACCTAGGACCCCTATACTCAGGAGGGAGAGGCAGGAAGATCGCTGCACTTCAAGACCAGGCAGAGATACAAAGTAAGACCCTGTATTTTTAAAAACAAAGTTCCAAATGTCTAATTCTTAAAGAAAAGTCAGACATGTACCTGAAGCACAAAGTCATAGGGCCAAGTGGTCCCAGATAAAAGACTAAGAGAGGGAGTAAGAGGGTGGCTCAGTGGGGAAAGGCACTTGCTGCCAAAGCTGGCAACCAGAGTTTGATCCTTGGAGCCCACAGGGTGGAAGGAGGAAGCCAGCTCTACCAAGCTGACCTCTGACCTTCACAAGTATGCACCCAGACCCGCACACAAAATACACGTGGTTTTTGTTTGCTTGTTAAAATAGGACCTGGGTTTTCTATTACTAAAAAGACACAAAGGGGCATTTGGCAAATCTGAGTTAGGCCTGAAGATTTGTAACAGTGTGTTTATTTTTTTTCTTTGTTTTGTTTTTGCTTTTAGGAAAACACACAAGTATTTAGGGCTAAGGAAGCAATATGCAGCTTGGAAGAAAATAAAATGTACCAAGTGTGGTGCGCATGCAGAGGGACACAAAAGGTCATAGGCTGAGAGCAAAGAGGTACATGACTATAACCCCAGCTACCCGGAGAGGGAGGCTGAGGTACATGACTATAACCCCAGCTACCCGGAGAGGGAGGCTGAGGTACATGACTATAACCCCAGCTACCCGGAGACGGAGGCTGAGGCAGGAAGGGTACCTGGGTCCAGAAATTTGATGCCGGCCTGGGTTGTATCAGAAAGGTATAGTCTAAGACTCTCTAATGGACTAACAATCTATAAACCTAAAACTTTTCTCAAAATAAAGATTAATTTGAATCTAGTATTCTTATCTCAGGCTCTCAGATCTCCTTTCACAATTATGTTTTTAGAAAGTTGCTATATGATTCACCATTTTCATTTTTTATAAAAAGATGTTTGTACAGATTTGTCTCTTTTTTTTTTTTTCTGCTCTAGATTTTCTGTAGTAACAGAACAAATGGCTCGTCTACTAAATGCTGCTAGGAGCCAAGCTCCTCCCTCAGACAGGGAATGCAGCTCTCAACGCCGCTTCCCTTACCAAACCGGGTACTATGGTACTCCTTAGCGACTCTTTGTGCAGGGACCCGCGAAGGGACTCGGAGTAACTGAGCAGTGCCCACACCACTCACAGCAGGCGACAATCAGACAAACCTCACCACATGACTCCATCAGCTCCAAACCCCCATTAACTCTGACTCTGATCTCTCTCAGCTCCTCAAACAAAGACTATGGAAAAAGTGGCACTTCCAGGTCCCCTAAATGACACTTACACACTTGAACATCACTATGAGCTAAGAAACTGGGGGAAAAATGGAGTCACATCTAAGTTTTATAACAAATAAACATTAAGAAGTCAAGAGTTCCTTTGAAAAAGAATCCCTCTGGAAGTTGCTGGCGCATGCCTTAAATCCCAGCACTCGGGAGGCAGAGGCATGTGGGACTCTGATTTTGAGGCCAGCCTGGACTACAGAGTGAGTTCCAGGACAGTCGGGGCTATACACGGAAACCCTGTCTCAGAGGGAGGGAGGGAGGGAGGGAGGGAGGGAGAAGAAAAAAGGACTCCGTGGGCCCAAAGTAAAAAGACCAGTGGGATTAGTTTCTTTATGGAGATAAGGACTAAGGGAACACATGATGTACATACATGTGTGCTTGTATGTCTGTGGTGCTAGTATGTGTGGGGGCGGGGCAGGGGGTTAGGGACTGAGCCCGGGGCACTCCATATTCTGGGCATGAGTCCTATAACTATTTCCTTAGCTTAGAATGTTGTCTTTAAGACACCGGTGTCAATTTTCTTCCAGTTAAAAGGAAGAAAAATAAATAAATTGATGTGTATATCGTTCTTGGCGAGTGTGTCCAACACTTCTTCCAAGCTAGCTTAGTCTGGAGAGCTGCTCACTTCACTCTCCAGCCAGACGCTTCTCTGCTGTGGGTGAGGCTCAAACATATCCCAGACAAGAATGAGGGCCAAGCCTGCCAACACTTCTACTTCTGTGCTGTTCTTCCTGAAGTCTCTTGTCACTAGACTCTGATTTCCCCTCAGCGCTCACCAATGTGGCTTCATGAGCAAACATGTTCGTCAGTGGACAAGCTGAAGACCAAAAGGTGCCAAAGGGCTATGGACTCATCTTTCAACCATTTCCAACTCGACAGCGACACTCACCCACCAAAAGTGCGTTAAGGTGGTGAATATCATAAATTCTGAACACTTTATCACTCCACAACTCTGCCCACCGTAGTCACTCTCTCCCTCCCAGCCTGACAGCCCCAGCCCTAGACAACCACCCTTGCCTCTGTGGATCTGACATTTCATAGGGATGGGCTCGCACAATAGGCAGGGTTCTTGTGACTGGGTTCTTTCTTGTAATCAAGTCCCCCATATTGGAACCCACATCGATACGTATTTTATCACTGAGTATTTCAGCTGATGAACATCTGAGGTGCATCTGATTTGTCTGTTGTGAACATCTTGCATAAGCCTTTTTGGAGACGCTTTTATTTGTCTTGGCTGTGCATACACAAGTGCATTCTCTCAGGATAAAAGCATCTCTACCTTCAGCTATCTGAAGATGATGGAGAATATCTATTCATGTTCGGTGGCATTTATTCATCTTCTTCAGATAAACATCTATTCAGATTCTCTGCTTATTATTTTACTGGCTTGTCTTTCAGACAATAGTTACTAATATAATAATTCTCTATACACTCTAGAAGAGGGCATGGGATCTACACAACTAAACTTATGGTTGTGAGCTATCATGGGGGTACTGGGAATTGAACCTGGGCCCTTTGCAAAAGGACCTGGTGCTCTTACCTGCTGAGCTATCTGTCCAGTCCCAAGTTACAGCTTTTGAGGAAGCCCAGTTTGCCTGTGCTTCCTTTTGCCATTTTTGCTTTTGTTACCATAGATAGCTAAAAAGCCTATGCCTGGCACCCCTCTGTGTAAGAGTAAACCACACCTTTTATTTTATCCTCTGAAACATGGAAAAGAAGACAATTTGCTACGTTCTTTGGACTGAAGAGAAGCTCAGAGAAATCACATATACGAAATTACTTAAAGTCTCGTCTCTCAAGGAAGAAATCAACAGACGGGAAGACAGTGGATGGGAGGGGGGAAGCACCAGGGGTTGAAAGCAAGCCTCGGAATGGGCAGGCCCTACGATGGTTGCTGCCCTGGACAAGATAACCTCTCCTAGCCTGCTCATTCCCTGGTAAAGAGGAGTCGCACCGTGATTGCTCTGGTGCTGACCTACAGCCCAACCACCCGGCACACGGTCCCAGGATGCTAATGTGCCTAAGAGGGAAGAGGATGAACAGTCAGGGGCGCAGCTCCCAAACGTGCAGCATAACAGGGCTGGGGCTGCCTTCTCTCCAGCCTCTATCTGATGCTCTGTATTCCCTCGTGCTCCCCGCCCTCTCTCAGAGTGCTCCCCGCCCTCTCTCAGAGTGCTCCCCGCCCTCTCTGAGTGCTCCCCGCCCTCTCTCAGAGTGCCGCCACATACGCTTTCCCTCGTCATCCAACACTGGTTCCCATCATGGTTAGGGGAGTCTGCCGTGTCCTCTCAGAGTGCCCCAGAGTCTCCACCAATCTCCGCAGAGCAGAGCAGAGCAGAGCAGAGACTACTCTGGTCTTGCTAATTCCCAGAGCCTGGCATCTAGCAAGGCTGGAACACAGAGCCCAGAGGAAACAGGGAAACACACCTCTAACTGACCCACCCCAGAAGGCTACTCACCTAACACGGGTCTCACTTTCCAGCCCCTCTAAAGAGAACAGTGGGAAATTCTGACTGTTACCCCTGAGTGCGGCATATACAGTGGCCATCGCACACATTTTAAACTTTTCCTGATAAACCTTTGGGGGAAAATAAGTGGCTCCCGTCTCCATTCCCAACCTTGCCCCCTGTAGGGAGCCCAGTAATGACTTGTCATTTTTCTACCTTCTGATGGCAACGCCACAGGAGAGAGGATACAGTCCTGTGCCAGGATAAGAAAGTACTAAAGAACCTCAGGGATAGTTAAAAAGCTCAGTAACGTCTAGACATTGGGTTCCATCAGGGTATCAGATTTGAGGCAGGCGTGCTGGCTCCCATTTATAATTCCAGGACTCAGAAGGCTGAGGATGAAGATTGTGGTTAGCTCAAGGCCAGCCTGGGCTACACAGTGAGACCTCATCATAAATAAATGCCATGGTTTCACCAACTTCTTTCTATTTGCATGCTTTCTTACACGTGACAGGAAGTGCTGGAAAGAAGCTAAAGATGCTAGAAAGGGCGAGCATGTGCCTGAAGAGCCTCATCTTTCCCCCTGCTCTGGCCCTAATCTAGGAGCCAAGACACCGCCAGCCACGCGTGCTCAACTCCAGTGGCTGCCTTATGGAAAGCAGTGAGGCCGCTCTGGCAGTACAGACAGCACCCAGTGTGACGTCATCCCTGAAGGACTGCTGGGTTCACAAACAGTTCCTTCCGGAGAAAAATAAAAACAAAACACTGCCAAGGACATTAACTTTGGAAGGTCAACAGACTGTCTCGCCGTGCCCTCCGGTACACTGCCCCTGAGGGGAAGAACTGTGAGGTCAGTGTGGCTGCCCTAAGCTCGACACTCGCCATTACCTCTTGCTGCTTCTCCTCATTGGGATAGGTGTCTACAAACACTCCCAGCCCCACAAATTTGTCCATGTTTCCAAACACAGGCCCTAGAGAGAGAGAACAGATGATGAACAATGACATAAAGCCAAGAGTTGACAAAGGATAATATCTTCTATGACAGAGGAAAAAATGATACTCCAATGACCGTCAGGCATTTCCTAAGATGAGCACACGCAACACATAAAAGCACCCAGCAAAGGGCATGACCTCCAACTGAGCCCACGGAACAGCTATAGTCGTTTGTTGCTGAAGGCAGGAAAAGAGGGAAAGCCACTGTAACCTTGTTTGGTACTCTAGAAGCTCCCTGATCCAGACTGGTTGCTAAGACACCCCTACCTACAGGATTCTGCTTCGCAAACACTTGGTAAAGAGTATGTCCCCAAGAGAGAACTGAATTCCCAAGTTCTGTTTCTCGTTGCAAGAGATCGGGTCAAATCAGGTTCAGCCTGCCATCCACTTGGAGCACTGACTCCAACAGCAGCAAGGGAAACAGAAGACTGTTGAGTGTGTATGCCCACAAGAGGCCAGCTCACTGGTCGCCAGTGTTCACTAGAGCCAGTGCGTTCAGCCAGCCAATGGCCAGGCTTCACAGGGAAGCACAGTAAGAAACCAACAAGTAAGAAAACATCGCACGATGAGCCAAGTTCAGACTGCTTAGGACTCACAACCCCATTTTAGAGACTCAACAGGTTAACGTTCACTTAAAGACATCAAGGGAGAGAGAAAGCTAGAAGGGCCTTCTCAAAAAGAGGGACCGGGAATCAACAGGCCTGCTACACCCATCGGGAGAAACCCAGGGTCCCTAATACCTGGCTGCATTCGATCCTTTGTGTACCAGATTGCCAGGCCATCGCCATGCAGATTCTTCTTCCCTTGTCCATGGATCTTGAAGTGCACCTGCAGCTCCCAGTCTTTCAGGAAACATGGCTGACATGAGGAAGACAGAGGCAGGCGTAAGGGAACAGCACGAGATCTGAAGCCCATAAAGAAAGGCCTCAGCAGCAATCTACAGTCTCGGAAAGCATCTTTGGTAACAAGGCGAAAGTTAAAATGAAACCCTGTCATGAAACTAAACAGACTGGCCCATTCAACCATTTAAGGTACTGGGTACAAAAGGTAAATAAACCACCAGATTGTTCTCACGTCCATCTTCCAGCAGAAACAGGATGGTACAGGCAAGCTGGAAAGGCATGTTGGTCTGCCATGACCACACATCTACCCAGAAGCCACCTCAGCCAGCTGGGTAAAGAGGGTTGACTTAATACTTGTTTGCTACTGAAAATTATTCCTCTGAAAGGAAGACTCTAAAAAGCTGGGCTTCCAAGAAAGGTCAAAGCCTCATTCATTAAAGAAGAAAAAGGAAGAAAAGCTAAGTCTACACACAGGTTCCCAGAGGTAATGAGCGGATGCTATGAAGAACTCTAATTAGCTAAAGCTGGCATTTGGCCAAGCTGAGGGGCAAGCCTGAGTTACAATCCCCACACCTTCCTGCCTCTTGGAACAAGAGGAACAGCCTCTTGCAGGAGGGGGAACATAAAGGGGGCAGGTGTCACTCAGCCTTCTGTCCGGTTTGGGAATTAGACCCGAGCAGGTGGTGAGTGGCTAGTTAAGTGTTCAACACTTACCGAGTTCTCAGGAAAAACCAGGGGGAGCACAGTATTTGGCTGGGGCAGGCAGCAGCTAGTTAAAATCTGCTGTGAAGGGTTCGGCTGGCTTTGGCCAGGTGCAGCCAAAGGGTTTCTAAAAGCCTGCTCTGGACCCTGAGCAACACATCGCTTGATCGTTTTCAGTGTTTGCTTATTTGTTTTTAATTTCTGGGACATCGTCCAAAAGAATTCACATTAGGAGTAAAGTCAAAATGAAAGCAGGTTGGACACTTTCACAGCAGGGAGCCCTGGAGTCTCCAACAGTCTGCCCTATTCTGCCTCCTCACCTTGGGTCACCTCTCTGCTATTTCATTCTAGTTTTCAGGGCAAGAAAGAGTTCAGTGGCAGAAAGCTGTCCTGCGGCCAGGACCTGCACCACAGTCCTGGAAGAAGGCAGGGCCAGAGAAGCGAGTCAGGAGGTATTTGCTGCTAATTCTTGACCGTGGGTATCACAATGCTATATAGTTTTGCTCAGGGTGATGTTTAACAGTGGTTCTGAAACTCTGCTGCGCGTTTGAAAACCCCAGGGACCTAGCCATAGGTGGTGGCTGACGCCTTTAATGCCAGCATTAGGGTACTAGACGCAGGTGGATCTCTGAGTTTGAGGCCAGCCTGATCTACGGAGCAAATTCCGTACAGAGAAACCTTGTGTCAGGGAGGAGGAAGGAAACCCGATGGCCAAATTGCACCCTATTCCAGTTAAATCTGGGGTGGGACCCAGGCATTAACTCTAGTGCACAGCCAAATTTGAGAACCACTTGCACAAGCTACATATCCTACTCAAATAGCTCAAAAATAATTCTTCGGTTCAAATACAGGCATCAGGGAATTTTATAAATGCTTGTGTACGATAACTTAATAACCCACTAAGAGCAGGTCTGATAACAGTGTATACTTCTGTTATCCTTGTAGGAAACTTTGCACAGTCTTTTCATGCCCGATGTCTGATAACTCAGACAGGCACATCCAACAGCATTAGGACCTCAGTTTAACAGGTAAGACATAGAAACCCGAGAGGCTAAGACACCTGCCCAGGATTCATGGTGGCTGGGTCACCAGACTGGATTTAGAACCCAAGGCAGTCAGTTGGTGCTTGCAGGTTTTTGCCATACCCCATATTGAGCTCAGCACTACAATCTAGGTTAGGGGCCAGCCTGTGCCGATGGCTCGCAGAACAGGTGCTCTTACCCTCCGCCCCTTCAGAATTCTTGGTTAGAGAAAAAGGAACAGGGAAAACAAAGCCCTCTTTTATGGGACCATACTCACAGCATCTACAGCTAATGAGAGAAACCACAGGAGTGTAAGATCCCCCTCCCCCACTTATAGGAGGCAAGGAGGAAATATCAATGGATGCCAAAGTCATCCCTACGTGGTGTGGGAAGGACCTGGAAGGTTTAGGAAGGCCCTAGAAAACAAAAAGGATCATCTTACACTTGCACAAAATCACTGTGCAGCCACACCAGATGCTCCCTTCTTGCCATCATAGCTCAAGGAAGACAAGGTTGCTAGAAAAGGTTCAGGGAACAGACAAAATGACTAGAGTGGCTCAGAGTGATTTTTACACTGAAACAGAAACTTACGTTCTGGGCTGAAACAAGGAAAGGCTACTAGGATCATGTTTGGGATATATGCATTTCCTAACGCTTACTAATACTTATTTATTTATTTAGTGGTAGTGCCCCACTGGGTTGCCCAGGCTGAGATTGAATTTCTGGGCTTAACTGTTTCCCCTGCCTTAGCCCCCTCAAGTAACTAGAACTACAGGGGCATAGCACCATATCCAGAGTAGAGAGGTTGAATCACAGGTTTGAGGCCAGCTTGGGTTACATGGTAAGAAACAAACAAACAACAAAAACAGTAACAGCAACAAAAATAAAACAATAGTTTGTTTTGCAAAGTAATGAAATAAGGTTTAAGCTATTAAACCGGGCTATGGTGGTACACATCTTTAATCCTAGCACTCGGGAGGCAGAGGCAGACAGAACAAGAGATAGTTCCAGGGCAGCTTCCAAAGCCACAGAGAAACCATGTCTTGAGAAACAAACAAACAAACAAAAACAAAACAAAACAAAAAAGATTCAAGCTACTAAACCCAAAGATGTGGTTTATCAGGCTAACGAGAACATGAATTACTTGCTCTAATGATAGTGCAACAGAGAAATATCTGATTTCTTTGTTATGAAGTTCACTATTACCTCTGAATCAAAGACTTTTACTTTTTTAACGTTTATTTGTTTTTATTTATGTGCATTGGTGTTTTGCCTACATGTATGTCCCTGTGAGGGTGCCGGGTGACCTGGAACTGGAGTGACAGACACTTGTAAGCTGTGTGTGCTGGGAACTGAACCCGGGTCCTCTGCTTAGGAGCAGACAGTGCTCTTAACGGCTGAGCCGCCTCTCCAGCCCTCTAAAGACTTTTATCATCCTTAGAAGATGGGATGCTGGGAAAGCTGGCAAAGGAAGTAAACTCAAAAGTCACTTCCGAGCTCTTGTATGACATCCAGGGTCCCTAGCACAGGAAGCCTCTTACCACCCGATTCCACAAGGCGCCCTGTTTACTTTGCATGTCTGGAGTGAGACGGATATACTGGGTCATCACCATGGCATTGCCCATCAGGTTCCACAGCGAAGAACTGCTCGTCCCCACACCTATGGGACGGGACACATCAATCAGTGCACCCTCCTCACCGATTAGTTCTCAAAGCCCCCCACAGACCCCACCAAGGTTGCTGCCATTATCTTTTCCTGCCCAGGCTGATCTCAAAATCCTAGATTCAAGCAATCCTTCTGCCTCAGCTGCTGAATGACTGAGACCATGGGTACTTGTCATCACGCCAAGCTTCCTTCAGCTATGTCCTTCAGGGGAACCCAACACACCGCAGCTGTCATTTCTGCATGGCGCAGTCAGTAACCACCGTTCAGATTTACCCATTTTGTGTGTGGCTGACCTCCAGCACCGTGGAAGGACAAGCATTTTCTCACTTAATGCCAAGAGACTGACCCTCAAAACCCTGTGGGCTTAATCATATGCCCCCTTTAAAATCAGTCTCTCAAATGTGAAGCTGATTCTCCCCCCAAGTCTCTCGGACTAAGTATGTCCGGGCTGTAAACCAGTCTGACACATAGTATCAGCAAGGTTAAGAAGGTACTCAATGCACCTGCTAAACGCATGACATTTTAGTGACAGCACATAGCTTTCTGCGGTTTGACCCTTGTTCTCTGCACCCGCAGCTCTGTGGGAAAAGCAAACTCGTACGAAGCTATCTGCACTCGTTTCTCTTCTTAGCAGACACCTGTGTCAATCTTCTGGCACTGAGTGGTGCTTAGAGACCTAGAAATCCCTAAAGAGAGCAAAGCTAACCAGCCTCTTTCATCATCAGAGCTCGCGGCCTGGGAAGGAGCAGGTGTTCTAAACAGCAAACAGACTTTTTTCCCCCCTCCCCTCCGTTCTCCCAAGTTCTACCCGGGTTCTTTCTCCTGCTTTTTATTTCTGGAGCAGCCACCGCTCCATCCCGCCCTGGGCTGCTTGGCTCATCGCTAACGGTCCTCAACCATCCCTCATGATCCTCAGTTCTCTCCTCCTGGTGTCCAGCTCCCAACTCGTTCCCCTGAGCCCGGCGCGGGTGACATCTGAGAGCCCTGCCTAACCTACTAGAAACTTCCAGGGCTCGGGAAGGGACGCGGTGGGGGCGGACCCTGTCCTTGGGACCTGTGGCTCATCAGCGGGACGGGGATCCTGGAGGGGGGCGGCCCCTCCCGCTGGCGGCAGCGGGTCTAAGCCTCACCCCGCGCCGCCCAACTTAGTCCCCACGCCCGCCCCTGCGCGACCACCTCGCCCCGGGCGCCTCACCCTGGTAGGGCTTCGACAGCGAGTGCTCGCGTTTCAAGTACTCCACCGCTTGTCCCGCCCTGACGTGCCACGGGCCCTGCACAGACCCCAGCAGGAGGAGAAGGAGCAGTAGCCTGGCCCCGTCCCGAGCCCACGCGCGCAGCCGCCACCGCCGCCACCAGGAGGGTCTCCCTGCCGCCGCCATCTTTCCCACCGCCGGCCCTTCATCAGAAAGCCCGCCCCGCTGCCAACCCATTGGCCTGCAGAACCACCGGCCCGCCCTCCCATTGGTTCCTGGGGAGTCCCCGCCCCCGCAGGTGAGTATCTCACCGATTGGCTGCCCGGTAGCAGTTGCCTTGCCAACCCAGGCAAGGGGCGTTGCCGAATGCCCAGACTTTTTTTTTTTTTTGTCCTGGGCTTCGTCAGGCCTGCTAGTTACAGTGATTCTTCACTTTGTTACTGCGTTCTGTAGTAAAGTTAAAGCGGTAAAACATTTCCCCCCCCCCCCCGATCCCAAGCAAATGTTCTACCGTCACCGCCATTCGCATTTACCTGACCGCCAAGCTATCAGTCACGACGGCGGCAAAGAAATGAAAGGAGCAATAGACAAATCCCTTGGTAAAGGACCTGGTCTAAGATGTGGGGGAGCATTAGGTAGTCCCAGCACTCTGGAGACTGAGGCAGGAAGATGGGAAGGTCAAAGCAACCTAAGTAATTCATTAAAATGAGACAGCTAGCAAATTATAAAATGTATAAAAGACTAAACGAGCACTACCAACCAACGCCACCTGATGACATTTATATAAATGAAATAAATGAAATGTTTGCCAAACCGTGGTGGGAAATTGAAAACACACAACCCATTCCCTTTCCATAGCTTCTTTTATGCCACAACAACCTGTGTCCAACATGGTTTCATCGTCTTGTTATTAACCAGCCCTTAATGGTTTGCCCTTATCTTCAGAAAGGAGCACCAAATACCTTGACGGGGCACATAAAGCTCTCTGCCATCTGGCCCTGACCCTCCCTTCGAGCCAAACTGCCCACAGAGTCCTTATTTCGCCAACATCTTCCAGCTTCCTAACCTGGTTGCTCACTTTGGCTTCCTCTTACCTACTTCCTCCTGGAGGCTTTCCTTGATTCTCTCGGGCCAAAGCACGTGTGCGTCTCTGAACTCTGAATATGTTCCACCGATATCTACAAAGGACTTGCCAGATCTGTGTCTGCATCTTCCAATAGATTTAGTCAAAGTTAGCGCTGTCCTGCTGTCCTGAGCATGAGTAATGAGAAACTTGCTTCAAGGAAGACCAGCTTTTACCGATAATGAACTCCGCCCAAAACAGATGCATGGCAACAGACCTTCATGTCCATACCATGGCTGTAAAACCATGCATGACCCACAATGGACATAGGATAGAATATAATCTCCGTAGTATGGCAATCAAAGCCCTTTACAACCCGATCAGATCAGTCTGTACATGGTCTGTTATAATGGGTGTCACTGGAATTATGTAACTCGGTTAAAGGATGACGCATCTTTCCCTTTTAAGGAATGCAGCTAATACGCTACAGGAAGTAGCTCTTACTCATCCTATGCCAGGCCCCAACCACTTCCACACTCCCTAACCTCTATCAGCAATACAAAGTAATCTATTGTCTTTAAAGAATTATTTACACTGTACTTCTGTCAACTAGATTGTTTGCGTTATGCTTAAATAATACAATTTAACCTTTTATTACTTTTATTTATTGCCTTGGGTTCCCCCCATCTTGTGGTGCTGTGTGTGGATTAAACCCAGACCTTGCACATGCTAAGTAAATGTTCTGCCATTAAGCTATATCTCCAGCCCTATTTCTATCTATCTATCTATCTATCTATCTTTCTTTCTTTCTTTCTTTCTTTCTTTCTTTTTCCACTATGGGGGAATCAGATGAAGAGTTTCATGCATATTAGGTACGTATGATACTACTAAGCCATGCTCACTAAATTCCCTTTCCTTTTAAGATAGGGTTTCATGTAGCCCAGGCTGGTGCTGAACTCACTATGTAACCTAAGGGGAACTTTGAACGCCTGATCCTCCTGCCTCAGCCTCCCAAGTGATGGGATTACATGTGTGAACCATCAAGCCTGGCTCCAGCCCTCCTTTCTAAGTATACCATGCACATTAGTAGTAGGAATTCATGTTGCACAGCCATCAGCTAGATCTCTGACAGATTTTCATAATCAGATTTCTCCTTGTAAAACAATGAAGGGATACGGCAAATGAGCAGGCAAGGTGGATTTCATGGCCAGTAAACCAGATGGTTTGTTAGGGAGAAAGCTCACTAATGATGAAGATATCAAAAAGAAATGAAGCCTGGGGTTTTATGGAGCAGATGAGCGGGGGGGGGGGGGGGCATCATGAGGAAGATTGAAGGGAGAATGTCTGACCAGAATTACTCTGGAAGGATAAGGCAGCAGCTTACACCTGTATAAAACACTCAAGAAAATGAGGCAAGAGAATTGTTACAACGTTGAGGCCAGGCTAATACATGTGCAAGTACCAGGCAAGCCAGGGCTACACAGGAAAATCCTGTCTGGAAAATACATACATACATACATACATACATACATACATACATACATACAGTCAAGTTTAGAGGCACGTAGTTTTTATCCCAGCACTTGGTAGACAGATGCTGGTGGATCTCTGTCTAGCCTACCTAGTGGGTCCAGGCCAGTTGGGGCTATATAGTGAGACTCTGTCTCAAAAATCATCATCATCATCATCATCATTCAGTAAGGAAGGCTTTTATTCTGGACTATTCTAGAGAAAGGCAATCATTTAAAAGCAGCCACTTCTTGGAACAAGAAATGATGAGGGGACACAGAAAGACAGAGAGCTGCCTGCCAGAAGCAGGAAGGACTTGGGTCAGTCAGCACCGGTCAGAATGTGGAGTTGTGAAGAGAAAGCAGAAAAGCTGTGATACCCTCTGCACACGGCCCTGCTTACAAACTGCCTTCTGACAGTTGGGCCAGGTGTTGACCTACCCCTTTTTTGCCTCCAGACATTCTCCTCCTCCTCCTCTCTTTGGAATCACCTCCTATGACCTAGGGCTGCCTAACCCCAGGCAGCATCTGTGAAATGCCAGTTGTGCATTTCATCGACTCTGCTGATGCCTCCACTTTAATAATTTTTTTTTTTTTTTTTTTTTTTTGGTTTTCAGAGACATGGTTTCTCTGTGTCGCCCTGGCAGTCATGGAATTTGCTTTGTAAACCAGGCTGGCCTCGAACTCAGACATCAGCCTGCCTCTACCTTCCTGGTGTTGGGATTAAAAGGCATGTGCCATTACACCCAGCTTTATTCAAGTCAAACCTGATCTTCTGACATGTCCATGAGGACTCCTGACGTTCTCCATGTCTTAGTGGCTTTTGATTTTCAATATAAATCAAGACCCTGTTGGGGAGCAGTTAAGAACACAGGCTCTGGTTGGGCGGTGGTTGCACATGCCTTCTTTAATCCCAGCACTCACAGCCAGAGGCATCCGGACCTCTATGAGTTCGAGGCCAGCCTGGTCTACAGAGTGAGTTCCAGGACAGCCAGGGCTGTTACACAGAGAAACCCTGTCTCAAACAACCCAAACAAATAAGAAAGAGCACTGGCTCTGTAGAGGCCCACAGTTGGGTCCCCAACCCTGCATTTCTCAAGTGTCTGAAAACACAGTTCCAGGGGATCTGATGCCCTCGTCTGGCCTTCAAGAGCGCTGCACACATGTGGCACAGAGATACTTGTGGGTAAAACCCCCATACACATAATAAAAATAAATGAATCTTTAAAAATAAGAGCTTGCTGGACATAATGATGCGTGCCTGTAACCCTGGCCCTCAAGAGGGAAGGGCAGGAGGAAGGCCTCAAATCGAGGCCAGTCTTGGCAAAAGAGTACGTCCCAAAAATTGTTTTAATTAAAAAAGAGAAAGACTAATCAAGAGCCAGATGTGGTGCCATATAGCTATAACCCCAGAACACACTTTTAACATCTGCATCATCTGTCCAACCCCTTGGCCACCTTTATTGTTGTTCATTTGTTTTTGAGGCAGGGTCTCACCATGTAAGAGATTGGTCTCAAACTTAGAGAGGTCCACCTGTCTCAGTTTCAGGCATGCAGGGATTAAAGGTATATGCACTGCCACACACAGTGTGGACTAGGATGCTAAAAGTTATACTAAATCTGTGGGTTCCTTTCAATTTTTCAGAAGAAATTTGGTAAAAATTGCTTAAGCACTTTTACTCGGGGTAGGGGAAAAACTATCCACATTATAACCTTGCTGGGTTGAAATTCTTCAAAGATGTATTTACTTTTCTTTGAGCACGGGTCCACGGGAAGATGTGCAGCGTTCCTGGAGGGTTAGCATCAGGACAAGCATAAATGGGGTCGAAATCCACTTCTCTGTGAGCCTTGTTTCTTAAGCTTTCCAAATCTCCATTGGAGAATGAAATGAAACCCCACATTGTCCTAAAACAATGTAAAGTGTCAAACACATGCCTTTGACCCCAACGCTCAGGAGGCAGATGCAGAAGGAGCTCTGTGGGTTCAAGACCAGCCCGGTCTACCGAGTGAGTTCTAGTTCCGAGACAGCCAGAGTTACATAGTGAGACCTTGTCTTGGAAAAAAAATTAAATTAAATTAAAACTACATTTAGAAAGTGATGTAAGGTGAGCAAAGATTTGTGCTGCCAATGGGGCTGGGTGTGGAATAAGAACAAATAATAATGACCAGTTTTCTTAATTTTTTATTACTATAAAAAGGTGACTAAGTGGGTAAAGGTGCTTGCGGCCAAATCTAATGACCTGAGTTCAAGCCCCAGTGCCCACAGAGCAGAAGGAAAAACTAACTTGTCCTCTGGTCTCCAAACATGTGCAGCAGTGCGCATACACACACTAAAATGAATAAATGCAAAAAATATTTTTTTTTCAATTTGTTTTTATTTATCACTGGGTTCTCGGCACCCACAGGGAAGCTCACAGTCTATAACTCCAGTCCCAGGGGACCTGATACTGTTCTGCTCCTCCATAGGCCCCAAACACACATGGTGCACAGACATAAAATAAAAATAAAATCTAAGACAGATTCTTTTTTTTTTTTCTAAAAAGAAAAGACACCATGGAAGATGGAAGAGGTACCCGTCCTCAAGGGTAAGAGCAGAGCGAGCCATGGAGAGGACAGGCGCTTAAACAGATCAAAATACCCACAGCTAGCC